GACCAGTACATGATACTCTTTCACAAAGCTAGCTATCCCTCACCCACCCTGCATTTGCAGGCTACAATGCCGCACAATTACCAGTGCAAAACCATGTCACAGTGGTGATTGTGCGGCATTGTGGCCTTCTTCGGGTCCCAGCCCCGTCCTTCTGGGACGATGGAATCGACAAGCTGCCTGAGCGTTGGCGTCGAGTAGTGGATGGTGATGGTGCATACCTCTAATCTTCAGGCTGGTTCGCTATTGAGATATTTACAAAAAAGTCGGGGGAAAGAACTTATGCAACAACCTAATACGTGCGAACTACACTTCATTTCTTTGATAAAGTCGTGAAGTTTCTTCATATGGCTACTTTCAGCCATTTTTCTTGCTTTGTATGCTAGGAAACGCTTCACATGAAAGTTTAGTTTACGCGAAACCTCAATAAAAAGCGGATTCGTAGACGGTTGTTTGGAAGAAAGGAACAGCCTTTCACGTTGCTCGAAAAGATTGATGATATGCTTCGGGCCGACTGAACGTGTATTTCTCGAAATATTTAATGGGAACGTGCCGAGAAATAATGCCATGAATGACACAAGCGAAACGGTTATATGCATCGTCGGCATCAGCGTAAGAATCTGAAACCTCTAACCAGTAAATGCCAGAAATTGCCTAGCTTTCCCTTTTTCTGCGTGCAAGACAATCAGTGAAGCGTGTCAATTTGTTTTGAAAGCTGCATTCAGATATACTAAATGAAATCATGTCATGGTCTGAGCTCGCAAAAGGTGCACAAGAAGAAATATCGGAAATGGAATCACTGTCTGATAAAATGATGTCAAGAATTTTGCTCCCTCTACTGGAAAAGTCACCATTTGCTGTAAGGGGGACTATCAAAAGTACCAAGAAACTTTTGCGCTTCGGAGTTAAGCGCCACGTGTGAACACCAGTCAATATTTAGGTTCAGATCTCCTAGAACTGTCACGTTATGCAGTGAGGTCGAAACCAAGTCAGAAATCACTGTAATTAACTGTTCATCTTGAGATATGGTAGACTGTGGGGGGGCGATACATAAGGAGAAATCTGTGATTGCGAGAGGACAGGAGAGGCAATAAAACATCAAAGCAAAGAACGTCTGCGCTAAGAACTCCACAGTCGAATTCATTTTTCTCATATAGGAAAGAGTGCAGAAGAGCACATACTCCTCCCCAGTTTTTCCAACTCTATCTTTGCGAATTACTGAGTATGGGAAGACTGAGCAGAGTTCGGAGTCAGTAATTTTACTATTTAACCAAGTCTCGGTAATAAAAATCAGACTGGGCTTACAAGTTCCTATGAGACTATGAAGGTCATGGATCTTATTCTTTAGGCTACGAGCCTTAAACAAAAGACAAAATAAAGAAGAATTTCGCGAATATGCTAGTATTCCGACAACACGGGAGCACTGTTTCGATTTTTGGCTAATTAATTTTAGAATGTCCTTTACCTTCACAAGTTCGCCTCGGTAAATAACATCAACTCGCTCACCTTCTTTCCTGTTGTTCGCGTGCTCTATCCTGCAGATCGCGGTCCTTCTTACGCTCATCAATAGTCATTGATTTTCGTATATAGATATCTTTATATTCGTGCGTCGAGTGCAATCTGTGTGCCTTAGACAAAATGTCAAATGAAACACGACTGGAGTAAAAAATATAACAAGCCGAAGTTTTCCCCCACACTTTGACCCATCCGATACACTTCGGCAGGACTCAACATTGGGGAATCAAGCATTCCGGCGACAACCTTCTCCGTGTGTGCCTGGCGCGCAGATGGAGAAAGATCGCCCCTGACCTCCGACTCACCATGAAGAACAAGCGATCTGAGCTTCTTATTACGATCCACAGCTTCATTAATGATAAATGGTAACCTACCCAAAAACTGGTCCAGAAGTTGGATGACTTCGGGCGCTTTCACAGCCAAAATACCATGGATTTTCTTCAATAGTGCGATGCCATCCTCGTCAAGTAGTGACGTGGGTACTAGATGACTGGACTCAGAGGCAGAGGGCGATGTGAGCCCATTCCCATTTCGAGTAGCAACGGTGGACATCGCAGATAAATTGATTATCCGACCGCTCACGGAGCACGCAGGCAGGTGAATGGATGAATGAATGAAAAAGTTCACGGAAGAACGACTGCGAAACCCCCCAGGGTTAATATGAACAGATCCGTCTTGTTTTTCCCTTTTCCTAAAGCTGCTACCGGCGGCGGTACCGGCGGTACATACACTCCATAGATGGATGCGGTAGGCGTAGCTTGCGTACTTGAATTGAACGTGGCGGCTGCCATGGTTTTTGTGAGATATTTTCGTTTTGGGACAGCTGTTATCAAGTCTTTGCTCAATACAGAAAAAGGTGACAGTTGTCTCAAATTGAAACATCTCACGGGTAACCCATTCTCAACCATGTTCAAATGCCACGCCTAACCCGTTTCAGGTATAACAAGTGTACCAGTGCGCTCAGATTCGTAGCCCAAAGTGAATCGTTGGCTATTGCTTGATAACTATGGTGGAAAATCATCAAAAGGACTAACCGTAGCGATCACAAAACAGAAAATTCTATAACATCCGAGTCTCTGTTGGCATTGAGTTACGGTATCAATGTTGAGAGTTACGGTATCAATGTTGTTACTTTTACAACTATAGAATTCAAGAAAAGCAATAAAGCAAGAAACTTTTCCATAGATCAAGGTTGTTCGGCCAAGCCGGTCTACTCTCCACCTAGTGTACGCAGAGTCTTCCCAAGACTTGAAGAAAGGTTAATGTGATTGGTTAGCGGGTATGAGAAGTCAAGTACAACCACCCATTTCGGGTGTGTCTCCCCTACTGAGTCAGTCTGAAGAAACCCTTGCTATTTCACTTGTTCCCCATCTCTGGGCCGCTCTGAAGGCGAATTATAGATTTTTGTCCGCGGCGTCGCCAATTTTCGGCGCACGTTCCGCCGCCACGTTCCGCCCACTGTGGGCGGAGGCTCAAGCGATAGGTTCAAAATGGCACTTGCTTCCTGTCCCATGTGCTTACCATCCAGCCTTTAACCCGACCCTCGCGCTACTGTTGCAGGTCGAACGAATTCCACGACAATCAGACAAACAAGCAAACGAACAAACAGACGTAGCAGATTATGCATAAGCAGCGGGCTTTGCCAGCTGACGAGGGCGCGCCTCCTTCCGAGATAAAGCACGACATCGCAGAAGCGGCGCGACCGGCTTCGCCGGTTTCATCTTTTCCACACTTTTCAATACGCACTTAATGGGCTCCGCTTTCTATTATTGATCATGGAGGTCGTTATCTTTGCAATAGCATGTTCATATTCACATCATACCTGCCTACCCTATAGGTATGATATCTATTATTCTTCAACACTATTACGGGGTGTGACAATGGGTAAATGGGGGGTAAGGAGCGCTATATGTGGACAAATGATTCGGAGAAAAGTCGGGTATTGTCGCGAGCATTTAATCATATTAATGCAGGTAGACGCGAGATGGACAATGCCGATAAGGCGAGCAGCATCACAGAAGATGTCAAGATGGCCCTGGGATGCCTCTGAAAACAGACTTGAAGAATTTTGAGAGGACAGCGCTCCGCCTCAACGCACGCTCCACCAACAACGGGTGTGCCTCAAGCTTGTGAACCGGTGACTCCTCGACGACTGGGTTTTTCGGTGTCAGGAGTATTCAGGAACCGTTTCATTAATTTTTACAGTGGCCCACCTAGCGCACGCTCCGTCCGTTAAGCGACGCGCGCCCCAACACTTTGAGGCCGGGTGATTACCTCGGATGCATCTGAACTAATTTTCCCGGTTGTCTGAATGCTCTGTGGAACGTCGGAATTTTCTGAAATTAACTAGCTCCGCCCACAGCAGGTGTGCCTCATACTTGTAAACAGAAGACCCCTCGCTGATCATAAACTACTTTTTACCTGTTCTGGAGTGTTCTGTGACCGTTTAATCACATTTTTCTAACTTGACTCCACCCACCTCGGAGCACGTCCCGCCTACAACGTACGCCTCGCGCTTCTCAACCGATGACCCCCTCGCTGAGCTTAAACCAATTTTTCGCGGTGTCTGTAGGGTTCTGTGATCGTCAACCAATTTTTTCAGACTGTTACTCCATCACTTGAGGCAATGCTCGCCCAACGGGATGACCTTCGCCACAATCCGACACTGTGATCACTTTGGAGACCTATAATCTACTTCGCGCCATTCGTGTGTGCTTAGGACCAACTGCGATTTTTAACCTGGTACCTTGTGTTTTGATGCACGCCCCGCCCTGTGTCGGCGGGCCTCAGCGCGCCCACAGTGAGCGGAGCGTAAACATGTTGGACTCTTGCCAGAATGTTCATCTTCGTCATGGACTCTTCTGCGATCTTTGGTTTTATTCAGGAACCGAAATTACCGACCTTTGTGGGAAGCACCGTCCATCTCAAAACGCCCCAACATTTGGTACTTGCTCTGCCAACCCAATGCTAACCTTATCGTCTCCGGGCTGCTTTGTAAGCAGATTACAGCTTTCTTCAGAGACACGGGACGCGCCGCCCATCTCAAGCACGCCCGCCCATTTCGGGTGTGTCTCCTCTATTTGGTCGGTCAGCCCTTTGTTAACTTTACTGCACTGTTCCCTCATCTCGGGACTGCTCTGGAACCGAGTTATGACTTTTTTCAGTGAAATCGCTAACTTTCAACGCACACTCCCGCCCACTGTGGGCGGGGTAATGGGCTATTTGGGTTTTGTCCCATGCTCTACCCATCCCCACCATGACCCGACCCCTCCAAGTTCTTCTTCAGGTGCTATGAATTTCGTGACAGACAGACAGACACACACACGGACATAGCCGATTATATTAGTAGGATAGGGATAGTGGAGGATTGTTCCAGAACTACATTACACACCCCCACTTCTTTCGCTGAGAACATGAGTTTGATTTGTAAACCAAACCATCCTACTATATATAATGCGCTAAGTATGTCCGTGTGTGCGTATGTGTGTCACAAAACACGCAAAAAATACAGCTGCGGTCCCTATAAGAGTAAGACTTCGGTTCCAAGATATGATATCGGGTATGCTACAGGAACATTACTGATGGGTGACAGGAAGTGATATCAGCTGATAAAACCCGATAAGAAGCGTCATAAGAGAAGAGTCGATGAGGCCAAAGCACGGGTCACAGCAGTAGTTGGAACGTTAGTTCCATGGTATGATATAATGAGACAATAATGGGATAGGGACAGGAATATTTTTTGTATGTGACAAAACTGCTAGCAGCTGATAGGATTCGATAAGAGAGGTTAAAATGGGAAGGCCATCATAATCATAACGCGAGACAGCATCGGATAGGCGTGGTTCCAGCAAGTGATATAGAGGGGGACGTGGGGACCGACGGTGGGTGACAGACAGTGATAACAACTGATAAGGGCTGATAAGGAACGTTGCCGTTGTTGTTCAGTTGAACTGCTAGACAGGGCACATCATTGGTTGGGGATTTTGCGGCGGGTGGCGAGTCCGCGTCCCCCCCCTCTCTGGAAGCTGGATCGATACGCCCCTCCCTCTCCTTCTAAGGTTTGCTGTTTTTTCGCCTCCGAATTTGCGTTTTCTTCCAACACCTACGTGGAAGAAAACCAGTGCCAAGCTAAAAATTCCCCCTGGCTTCTGAGCACCTTCCAGCACTGAACATCACCCAGCCAAAGAATTTCTGTACGAGTGAAACTCCAAACATTCCTTAGGCTTCACAAGACA